TTATCCTTCTTATGTCTCTTGGTTTATTAGGGTGCATCTTTGCAAATTTTCTGCTAAAAAATATTGAAGTCGCAGAAGAAGTAGGCGTATAGCCAACAACCGACGGTAAAAACAGAAAGGATATCCAGAAATCATTTTGTTTTCCAAATTATTCCCTAACTAACCAAAAAAAGAATAATCATTAGGGAGGATAATAAACTACAGTTTGTATACTTCCAATAGGTTAAAGAGACTGGCTGATTTGATCTTGAAGGACGGAGTAGCAACACACAAACAGGTCTCCTCATTACAGCAGATTCCATTGAGTGTGTAGCCAAAGGTAATATCTTTGGTTAGCTTGCTTGTTAGCTGAACCGTGAAGTCATTGTTAGGTTAGGTAAACTACCCTACTTTAAGAATAGACTTGTCCGACAGAAAACCAATCGATCTGTCTGTTGGACTATGCTACTTCGAAAGGAGGGTAGTATACCTGACCTAATAATGACTTCACGGTTCAGCTAACAAGCAAGCTAACCAAAGATATTACCTTTAGCTACACACTCAATGGAATCTGCTGTAAGTATTATACAAACTACATGTTTTGTTAGTATGACTTAATTTTTAACTGAAGATGTCATCTTTATACTATCATGATATACTAAGAAATACTATAGAACTTCAGCATTTTTAATCATGTGCTTAATTTTGAAAGTAGAAGGTTTTTGAAAACGAGTAGAAATATTTCAACTTTACAGATAGCTAGATAATTGTGTCATGTTGAAAACTCAGTAATTGTCCAAAGTAAAATATGCAAGTATTTGTGCATAGCAATATTTATTATGCTCTTTATTTCTAAACTTGGACCATACGCTTTCAATTTCTCGCTGAAGCACTAAAAATCCACATCTAATAATACTTTTTACTAATTTTCAGGACATCCCAACAAAATCAATTGAACTTCACTTTGAAGACATTCATCAGCATTCAAAGAAACAGTTCAATGCTTTACACCTTTGTATATTACCTGGAATTATGCCTGTGAAGTTTCTAGAACATGCCGGAATTTCATGCTGGTTTAGCACTGGAAAACCCCTTTCTGGGAAACAATAAATCTCATCATCCATTGGAATACAGATATCTATTCTAAGATCTATTATAAATCCTTTTCCTTCTTCCAGCTTGTCCACTTTGTACCTTTTAATATATACATAAACAATTTTCTATATCAAAAATATTATTTTTTTGACTTTAAATAAATCAAAATTGTTATGCATAACTGAAGACTATCTTAAGTTTTAAATAAGAATTATTTTAGATGCATTTTTTATCATTTACATGAAAAGGATTCAGATAGCCATTGATGAACTAACCTTATCATTATAGGAGCTGGGTCACCCTTTCCAATCTGAAGTTCATTCTCCATACCTGTAATGTATGTACAAAAATGTATTGGAATGTTATGAAATCTTTGACACTGAAGAAAATTCATGTAAAGTATTGGAATCAATTTCAATTGCATCCATGGAAGTCAAACTAGAATTTTGTTATTTTGTTAAAATATTATGAAAAACTTCCGCAAATCTGAACCTTATTTATTAAGGTATATCTACAGGAAAAGCTTTTAAATTACACTTTTTTAAAATATATTTTACAAATATAAAATAGTTCTCAATTTCATTTTTTTATTTTTTTCATTTAAACATTTGTATACTTTTTGTAACCAAGAAATGATAACTTACCCCAATCATAATTAAGAAGAACTGTTTTATGATAGTACGTTGCAAGACTTATTTCAATCTCAAAATCACACGGCTTAAGTTTAAATCCAAAAGGGATACTGTATGTTACATCATCTCCCTGGAATGGAAGCTTGAATTTCAATCCTAAACAACAGTCAAGTCCTAAGCAGTTGTCTGTTAATTCACACTGTGCCCTCCCTTTCAATGCATCAACTATTTTGAAAGTGTTGGAACATTCTGTAATTAATACAAAACACAGTATAAACAAAAGGTGGAATTATACACCATTTCAATTTTGATATAATTGTCAGAAACAAATATGAACATTGCAATGTTTTGTTTGATTATACTAGGTTTCATAATGATTAGTTTCAGAGTACATTTAATTGCATATTTTAAAATATATTATAATATCTATGGGCTCCTAAGATTCTAAATTCAAAGAGCAAATTTTGCTGAAAAAAATTGACAAGTTTAGGTTTTGATAACTATATTGCCACAATCCATTAAAGTTTCATTTGCATAGGCTATCTATACAGTATTCCTGCTAAGTCTGGTTAATATTGACCAAATTGTTTCATTGAAATTCAATAAGTCTATTCTGGGAATTGCACAATTGTGTAATCCTGTACTATTTATTAAGATGCTGTATGAAATCTCTTTTGAAGTCCAGTAACTGACTTTAATGTATTCAATATGGCTTCATATCAGCAGGTAATGTGCTTTCAGTAGCTCTTTTTCATTGTAAATGTGATTTTTGATAAGAACTATGTGCTACTATTGCCACCATGTTTACCACCTGATCAACATCAAAATGAGGACGATTTGTAAAAGGTCTTCAAATATCAATCCCTGAAGTGTCAAAATATTTTACTTTGTAGTTTCAGAAGAAGATTCAGAATCAATATACACATGTCAAAACTGTTTCTATCAGCTTATGGATAGTGGTTATAGCCAATATATTAGGAATACCTTCTTCAGTTACTGCCAAGTCACATTTCTCTGTAAAAATGCTCTGAAATAAAAGTTCAATAAATGTTATTGGCATTTCTTTGAAAAGAATCATTTCAGTGTTTTAGTGTTAATCTTCTTTATTTGAAAAAGTGGCAATTTTGTTTTAAAACAAATTGAAATTTCTGAATACACTAAGAAATAAATTTATTTATGTATGTGGCTGATGAATTTTATCGTATGATAATTCTATTAATATATCAATTGAATTGTAACCGGTTTAATGAACCTGAGTATATAAATACAGTGGACTCGATTTGAAATTATCGACAAGGGCGTTGACCATTGCCAGTACACACAGATTTTTGTTAGATTTTCTTATTATTTACAAAAAGAAGATGTGGTATGATTGCCAATGAGACAACTCTCCACAAGTGACCAAATGACACAGAAATTAACAACTATAGGTCACCGTACGGCCTTCAACAATGAGTAAAAAGTATTATGTACATATATATTCGAAAACAGTATTAAATACTTTTTTGTAACATAATTTGTTTATCTTTTGTAGGTTGTTGAGTGCAACATTTTTTTCATGTATTTCAACAGAGGACTTATTCTGTATATGTATGGACTTTGATTTACAACTATAAATAATGTTATCGCTTGATATTGCAATGTTTGATTAAAGAGAATGGTCATTGTGCCTGACAATATCTAAAACTAGTGTTTTAGTTATTTCTATATATGAATGAGATAAGAAACAGATGGGGCAGTTGGTATACAGAAATTATATAGTCTAGTACATAATTAATTTATGTTCATTTGAACGAAGAGAATTTAGAAAATAATTCAGCATATAGTTTTACAAGTCTAATATACTAAAGATAATTCTTTACATTCTGAAAATTATTTGGTGAGAATATTCTTCAGACATTACTGACATGTATATAGATATAGGAAGATGTGGTATGAGTGCCAATGAGTCAACTCTCCATCCAAGTTACAATTTAATGAAACTTATGTTTCATTTTAATGAAAAAGCCAACTACAGCTTTTTCTTTAAACAAAATTCACTTCTATCATTATATGTATTATGAATTACAGTATTTTAGTTTTGTTCTGAATAACAAATCAGACATGGGTTAAATGTCAACAAAGTAGCAACTAATTTTAAAAAAATGTTCATTAAAATTAAAAAATCACTCAAAAATAAGATTTTTTTTTTAAATAAGACACAAGAAAATCTTACATCAATTCCAGATTTTCTTAAAATAATGGTGAATACTTCTGTTGTAAGATGTCCACCAATTGCATTCACCATATCAGAAATACTATTTCCACCTAAAAAAACAGAAAATGTTACAGCCGAGTTATATACAATTCCACTAATAAAATATTGAAGCATCATGCTGAGTTGGGATCTTTTTTTATTTGTAGTAGAAGAAAATATTTTGGGGTTTGTTACAAATTTTTTTTGATTTTGGTGACTGTTAAGTCTGTTGACAAAATATATATGTTGAATGATGGCAAATAGATAGTTTGCCCTTAACCTTTGATCTACTGCTAAACAATTTCCAAGGGGTCTTGGTATTTTCTCATTCAATGGGGCATCAGCAAACCAAGTTTGGTAAAAGTTGGATATATCTTAAAAAAAAATAACACCCAGAAACCAAATTTTCCCAATTAATTTCAGTCTATCAATAGTAACTGTGACCTTGACCTTTTACACCAGTATCAGTATGGTTCTACCTCACCCTTTCAGACATTAACACACCAAGTTTGGTAAGGATATTGTTTATGTGTTTATAGGATTTATACGGAATGATGACACCTGGACATCCAGACAGCATTCGATCATATTATAAGCCAAATTGTGACTGTCACAACAGGCTGAGTTCATATGTCTTCCCTGTAATAATACCAGTTAACATCAGGAATCTTTGAAATGAATTACGATATATATATCAAATGCATTCAAAAACCAAATGACTGGCTATTTCAATGTAAGTGCACAGCCTACTTCCATTATTATTATTGTATCAAATCCCAGTACCGATTCCTGATCTTTACTTGTATTCCTGGTAAGACATATGTTATCAGCCTGTTGTGACAAAGTCACAATTTGGCTTATAATATGATGAATGCTGTCTGATGTATGGTGTCAACATTTTGGTTTTCAGACAAATTTCAACTTAGCTACTCTTCAGTTATTTTTCTTTTTAAATAGTTGAGACGTGAAACAATCTCATTTTTCATCATAAAATGTTGGTGTCATAGGGCACACAAACAACCAAACAAATATGTGATAAGTCAATAACTTCTAAGTATTTACTTCATACCTGGCCATGTAAAATTTTCATTACATATTGGTATTGGAATTTCTAAATCCTGAATAAACATTGTGTCATCCAGAATACAGCTTCCTTCAATACACAACTTCATTCCAAAATCTACTACAAACACTTTCTTTTCATCATTTTTGGCTATTTTTCCTCTGTAAATAAAATATTAATTTTTAATCTTAATTTTAACATTATAATTTAAATAATTTAAAATTACTGAAAAAATAATTTACTTTTTGTACTGATCATACAATTATATTTTTCAACTGTCAGCATGCAAACACTGCTTTATTTTACCTTTTAAAAATGGCAATATCATTTAAAGCAATATATTAGTCTTGCTAAATTGACCAGAAATAAAGAGAAATCAGTCAAATTAATATGCACTGACATCAGTCACTATTGACAGAAGTTGGCAATTTTTACATGTATCTTGTATGATGATAACTTTAAAACAAGAATGTGTCCATAGTACACGGATGACCCACTCGCACTATCATTTTCTATGTTCAGTGGACCGTGAAATTGGGGTCAAAACTCTAATTTGGCATTAAAATTAGAAAGATCATATCATAGGGAACATGTGTACTAAGTTTCAAGTTGATTGGACTTCAACTTCATTCAAACTACCTTGACCAAAAGCTTTATCCTGAAGCGGGACAGACGGACGCACGGACGCACAGACCGAAAAAACATAATGCCCCTAGGTGGGGCATAAAAAGAAATATAAATATGCTTAAATCACTGAAACAATTCATTTTTTTCCAAGACATATTCTTATGGATGCTTGATGAATATCAAGTATTTCAAGTCCATACAATACTTATACTAGCAACAAAGGGAACTTTAAACTCAACATTGTCTCCTTCATATGGACTTTTAGCAGATACGATGTACTTTGTTCAAACTTTGTCTTAAATCAATTTTCACAAGAGAAAAAACTAGAGGCTCCCAAGAGCCTGTGTCGCACACCTGATCCTACTTTGGTTTTGAAATCATGTAAAAATAGATTAAAATCATAACAGAAACCCTAATAATGATTGAAGCCAAATTTGGTTTAATATTGGCCCCGTAATTTAATCAAAAGCAGAAGACTTTTGTAAAGTTTACAGAAATTACCAATAAATTCATTGAAATTGTAGAAAATGACTTTATAAGGACAATGACAAATCAGCTACAAAATAACAACACTTGGTCAGCACCTCAATCCATTAAGCAGTTTTCTAGAAGAAGACATTTGTATATATTTCCCATTTGTATATTTTTCACACAGGGTCCTTTGTTAAACTAAGTTCCCCGCTGGCAGCCATCTTGGATGATGGATTTGCTACAAAGTAACAACACTTGGTTAGCACCTCATTAGAAACATTCATGCCATGTTTGGTTTCATTCCATTCAGTGGTTCTCTAAAAGAAAACATTTGTATGTATTTCCCATAGGGTCCTATATTAAACAAAGTCCCCCGTTGGGGGCCATCTTGGATGATTGATCGCCTACAAAGTTACAACCCAAGGTCAGCACCTCATAAGGAACATTCATGCCATGTTTTATTTCATTCCATTTAGTGGTTCTCTAAAAGAAGACATTTGTATGTATTTCCCATAGGGTCCTATGTTAAACTAAGTCTCCCTCTGGTGGCTATCTTGGATGATGGTTCGGCTTCAAAGTAACAACACTTGGTCAGCACCTCATATTAAAGGAACATTCATGCCATGTTTGGTTTCATTCTATTCAGTGGTTCTCTAAAAGAAGACAATTGTATGTATTGTCCATAGGGTCCTATGTTAAACGAAGTCCTCTGCTGGAGGCCATCTTGGATGATGGATCGGCTTCAAAGTAACAACACTTGGTCAGCACCTCATAAGGAACATTCATTTCATGTTTGGTTTCATTCCATTCATTGGTTCTCTAGAAGAAGTTCAAAATGTAAAAAGTTAAAGACGACATCGACGGACGACGGACGCCAAGTGATAAGAAAAGCTCACTTGGCCCTTCAGGCCAGGTTAGCTAATAAGACACAGATGTCAATTATTTTTCAAAAGTAATCCTGTTTTGAGATTTAAACTAAGATTTTACATGACTGTTTTTGCCTTATTAATTTGATAGAGCTTATAAACATATTTGCACCTATATGATGCTGGTATTTCTTATTATCAAAATACAAGTTAAGTAAAGATAGTTTAATGGTCTTAAAAGTGAGTAATGCCATAAATATTTTTTATATGAAAACTTCGCTCTATGCCCTTGCAAATTTCAGATTTAAATGCCTTTCATCTTGGCTACTGTGATTAAATATCTAACTTACAAAACATGGATATTGTCTGTCACTGGATACCTTTCCATCTGACCTGCAATTACATAATTATACATTTATAAATACAATGCATTCCATCTTTGGACTTCTATGAATTTGTTTAATGAAGTTTGACAAGACATCATTCCTAAAAACTTTTGGTTGCAATCTTTTTCTCTTTATTTTCAATTCTTGCATGGCAATAAGTTTTCATAAGCTTTCTTTATAAAAGAACAACCAAGTTAGTTTCCAATATTGTTTCTTTGATTCCAGTATATTTTTTTTTTCTTCTTTGATAATGATAATTTACTGGTCTCAATATTTTTCTTTTTTCTTTTACAAAACATAATATCAATAGAATTGAGACATTTTAATAAAGTTTTTTTCTCTAAGCCAAAGCATATGAACTACTAAATCAGGCTTTATTTTTACATATGTGTGGATCTTTTAATTTTTTTTAACATGTTGAAAAGTTAAAACTATTAAAACTCAGCCATATCTTTTCTCATCACTATTTTAAAAAGAAATATCTTCAAAGTTTCATGTCTTCCTAACAGTTTTTAAGAAGTGTAAATGGAGCCTTAAAATAATTTTTTTAAAAGCAATGGGATGAGTCCTGATTGATGAGGAATAACCTAGATGTTCTTGACCTACTTTATAATACTTATATATTATTCATCATCTACATATTCCAAAAATCAGACGCACTCGAGTTCACCCCTTGCTTTTGGAGGGGTTCATGAAAAGTGTGATAAAATATTTGATGAAGGAACAGACATACAGATAGAAAAACAAGATGAACACAACATAACCCCAACTCCTAAATTTGGGGTATAATAAAAACAAAGAAGTGACTTACCCCAGTTGTAGTTTATCAGAATGGTTGATTTTTTAAGTCCTTCAAATCCATATGCAAGCACAAAATTACAAAAATCTATCTCAACATATGCTTTAAAAGCCTTTGTAATGACTTGTCCTAAAACTTTGACGGAAAAATCAACACAAGCGTCTATGCGTTGACAATCTGAAGACATGGAATAATATAAATGCTTTTTTAAAGTGTCACTGGTAATTTCTGGCAACATCCATGTTTTTCCATCCAATTTACAGGCTGAAAAAAAATCACATAAATTTTCAAATGGTAAAAATGTACTGAAGCAAAAACATGATAATATGCAAACTTTTGATATTGTATGTGTTCAAGTAACTATGGCAAATATTCCAGCTATGAATCTGAAGGATGGGAAATTGATAAACCATTTGCACTCTATATAAAGTTTTATAAAACGTCAACTGTGAACACTAGAGATTTGTCTCTCCTTCTTCACGGTATTACTGTAAATTCAGAAATTATTGCGTGCATTTATTATTGCAATTTTGGAATAATTATCACAAATGCGAGATTAATTATTGCGATTTTCGGAAAAGCTGAATACATTATATGTCTCAGATATCAGAATGCGAGTTCTTATTATTGCGATACTCGCCCAGTCGCATAATTCGCATTAATAAAAATCTCGCAATAATTTCTGAATATACAGTATCAAAAACAGAAATTTGAATTGGCTGTTATAGTCAATGAAGCATTACCAAGGGGCAGAACCTTATTGTGCTTGAAATTGAAATGCATGGAATAATACAACCATATATCATTGACTTTATCATGAATACTTTTCCATATACACACTTAATAAAAAAACCTGACATTGTGACCTAAGGAGGGTACCCTACTAGAGCCCTAACAGGGCTTAATATTCTGTTTCTAAATTTCTATCCTAAGTCCTTTTTCATAAATACACCTAATCAGAAAATTTAACATTTGAACAATGCAAAAATTCCAAACTTACTGATGCATGACTCTTCTCAACCTGAATAATATTGATATGCAAGTATATCAATGAAAATGCATATCATTATAGCAATGGCCTATCCCTAATACTGAAATTGACTTAACGCCTTAAAACATGTTTAGCCCCACAACATTCTGTATGTACCTGTCTCAAGTCAGGAGCCAGTAGTTCAAATGTTGTCGTTGGTTCATATTTGTTTTTTCGTAAATTGTTTTGTTATAAATTAGGCTGATATTTTTTTCTCAATTGAATTCTTTCATATTATTCATGTCAGGGCATTTTATAGCCAACTATACAGTTTATGGTTGCCTATAATTGCTTACATTCACTTCTTTTGAACTTTGGTGGCTAGTTGTCTCATTGGCAATCATACCACATCTCCTTATTTTTATATTAGTAAAAATAAACGAAATTTTGTGTTGAAGCCACTAATATCTCATGGTAAAGTAACACCTATGTCTCGCTTCAGGTGTTTGGTAATTGGTTAGGAGTTATAGAGCATGTTATCTTGGCCATTTACTCTTACTTCTATCATCAAGTAGCAAGTGTTGCATTTGTTCCTCCTTTGTGCCAGAAACATTGAGACCTCTTGCAATTAATTCATTCATGATCTGAGTATATGCCATTGCATTTGGTCTTGAACACGGTTCTGTTGTAGTCAAGCTTCCAAAGATCTAGAAAATTTAAAGTCAGGTTATTTGAAATTTCAATTTCTAAATTGAAGTGGTTTTCCGTATCAAACTGTACATATTATTTTCATTTACCAAAATTTTAACTACCATTATTGTCAATTCAAAGCACAAATTCACTTGATTTTGATAAACTAAGACAATTCAACAGAACTAAATGTATTTTTCAGCTCTGATAAAAAGATCAAAATTTTTTAACAAACAATAGCTATACAATATTCCAGATAAATTAAATGTGATCAATGCCTCTAGGTAAACATTAGGAATAACTGTAAGAACTGTGAGTGATCTCACAAAATGATATTTATATATTAAAGTAAGTAAATTTGATTATCGTCTATATCACCCTGCTCAATAACTCCGAAATTCTCGTATTATGGCTTTGAGACGTGAGCAGGCATTATCAGCAAAGTAACAATGTCTGAGGAGAAGTTATCAGCCAAGTCACAATGTTTTAGGAGAAGTTATCAACCTCAAGTGTAAAACTGTCTAAAGGAGGGGGAATAAAACGATAAACAGTATCAGGTTTTCTACATATAGATACGTATCGACACAATGTGAAGCTTTTTCACTCTTTCGCTGCACTCACTCGCCAAATAGTTCACATTGTGGTTAGCGGCTGATCTTTAAGAGATAACTGTATTGCATTTGAAGCTTTGCAGACATCCATAGGTAGTTTTACTGTCGCAAACTGAGTTAACCTGGCGACCATAGTGTAAACACCGGGTGTTGTCTGGCTTCTTGTCCACCTCAGAATGTAATAAAATTTGATTAACAGAAGATTTCTAGGTGCAAAATGTGAGTTTTTTGGCTTAATATTGTAAAAATTACATGTCAATATATTCCAGAATTCAAAATGTTGGCTTCTCTTAGTTACAGACAGGGAAATAGAGAATTGTACACTGATTGTCATTCAATCAGAACCATTGATACAAAATAATTGCAATAGAATTTATGATGTCAATGAGTAGAAAACCTGATAATCTATACTTCTCTCTTCTTTAACATTTAAGACTGGGGTTACATTCCTATATGCACATCATCAGGTGTTCTACAACTGTGTAAAGTTTCATTGTTATCTGGACAGACAGACAGACACACGGATGGACAGATATACTGACGGATAGACAGAAAATACAATAATATCTGCAATAAGGTTTGTATACTTGAAATTTGTGCACATCGATCGGGTTAACAGAATTTATTGAATATTTCCTGTACATGATCCTTCAGTTCAATTCTCACAGGTTTTTGATATACACAAGACTCAAATTAGACAGTTTTGACATTACTCTTCAACAAACAGGATGTACAAAAGTGTTTGGACTGAAAATGCATCACAATAACAACTAACATTGATAATTTTAACAGTTAACCTTTTCCATTAGTGAAGCCTTTCCTTTTGAAAGAAATACACTAGTATTACAATTCCATTACAGATTCTCACAAGGGTATAATTTACAACAGAATACACACTAGTGTGAAGAAAAAATACACTAGCATAGTTCATGTACTGAAAGTTCTACACAACAAAATGAAAGTATGTTTGCATATACCTGGTCAAGACCTAACATTTGAACCAATTCATTTTGTGCAGCTATCAGAACTTCCTTCATTATTGTCTTTGCTTTTTCATTGAAATCTTCCATCATTCTGGTTGTATTGAAGACTTCTTTTAAATCAACTATAAAAAAAAATATAAAGTTAAAAGGTAAGATTTGCAGAAATGACTATTACACATATTTCTGTGTATTTATTTTGCAATTGGCAGATACTTTTATTTACAGTTGAGAAGAAAAAATCGGGATCAACTGTTAGTACCAAATCATAGTCTAATGTACCAAATTCAATGCATTTGAAACAGCTTATCATCTTTTCATTTAAAGGGAAATTCTCATAGACAAGATTCATAAATCTTTTTTAAATCTGCTACTGATTTTACATGAATTCAGCAAAATCTATTGAAGGAAAAATCAATTATAAAGCATGTTCATAAGTAAAAAATATAGTAAAAGTATTACTTTTTGGCCAAACTAAATTTCCATTAGCATCTTTTGATGGAAAAGGTATTCTGGCATCTTTTAGGAAGTCCAACTCAACCAGACAACTGCTGTCATCATCAACACTGCAAAATCCTAGCCCAGCAGTTACAACAAATACAGTCTCTATTAACTTGATTTCTACACTGAAAAATAAAACAGAAAAATATTTACATCTTTTCCATATCAACTTCCATGCTAAACTATAAAATAGGAGCAGATATAATTCACCTAGTGTACAATAAAAGTAGGCCAAGTGTCAACAAAGAACTCAGTAAAAATATCATTGAAAACAGATTTTTTTTACTTTAAACCAACATCAAGAGGAGAACTGCAGACAAACTCACATTTGAAAATTTTTAAGTTTGTTGTGAATTTGAAAGTAATATCATCTAAGGGCAATATTCGACACATAAAGCAATCTGAGAATAAAACATGTATAAGCCATAATTTGAATATTTCTTGTCATAAAAGTCAAAGCTTCATCCACCTAATAACTACATAAACTGTTACAATTTTAAAACATTTTTTTTAAATTGGGTGAGATTTTGAATATCATTTAGAGATATTTACTAAATTTTAAGTATTAAATACATAACGTGTAGGTGAAACAACATGCATGCATCCAGTGGGAAATCTAGTGAACGAAGACAATAGAAAATCCACACTTCTTATGAAAAAGTTGAGAAAAACAATAAAAAAACAATGCCAGTGACGATACTGATCAAAAGTTATTTCTAAACAACAATTGTACATTTTTAAGAAATTATTTGTTAAACTATGTTATTAGAAATATACATGCAAATACACGATGTTTTATGTTCAGTATTTATCGAGATAATTGCATTAGAAGCTTGTAAAACTGAAATCTAAAAAATGTTAATCTTTGCTGCTTATTGATAACAAAAATAGGAAAAAATCATGTACATACAAAATCTAAAGATCTTTCGGGTCACCAATTTTCAGGGTGTTCCACAAAGTCCTTAGCATGTTACTATTTCCCAAAATATACTAATTTTTCACATCTAAGTTTTTGAGTACAACGGATTCAATATAGAAGTATTGTCTTTTCGTGAATATAACAATTTCAAAGTCTGCCTGTGCAGGTTAAAAAAATTAAGATAAATATTTTTTAAAAGTAGGTATCTTTTTACTATTTTTATACAATTTTAAGAAAATTACAAGGACAGTGAACCAACGCCTGGAAAATCTTCTATACGATAGAATTCTTAAAGTGGATACCTCAAGTATGCAGGGTTGTTACCATAAACTAGAGGCTCACAAGAGCCTGTGTCGCTCACTTGTATCTACTATGGTTTTGGATATCATGTAAATGAGGTTAAAATCATAATAAATAGTATAAGATACCCTAACAATGATTGAGGCCAAGTTGGGTTTAATTTAGCCCAGTAGTTAAATTAAAAGCAGGTCATCCCATTGTAGACTCCTTATCATTATTTAAATTAGTTTTCAAGTTGTGACCATTTGAAATTGTTTTTTTACAATTTTCCCTTAGACTTCTATAGTTAACCCCTATGTTCTAATTTTAGCCATGGCGGCCATGTTAGTTGGATGGCAGGGTCATCGGATACATTTTTCAATCAAGATACCCTATTGAAAATTGTGGCTAAGTTTAATTCTATTTGGCCCAGTAGATTAAGTGAAGAAGATTTTTGTAAAAGATTACAAAAATTTATGAAAAAAAATGGTTAAAAACTGACTATAAAGATTCAGGAGCAGCAACCCAACAATTTGTCTGAAAATTTCAGGGCAGATAGATTTAAACCTATTGAACATTTTTACCCATGTCAGATTTGCTCTAAATGCTTTAGTTTCAGAGATATAAGCCAAAAACTGCATTTTACCCCTATGTTCTATTTTTAGCCATGTCGGCCATGTTGATTGGCAGGCGGGGTCATCAGACACATCTTTTAAACAAGATACCCTAATGATGATTGTGGCCAAGTTTGGCTAAATTTGGCACAATAGTTTCAGAGGAGAAGATGTAAACATTGAATGTGAATAGATCGAGAAGACCGCAAATACATGTACAAAAATCGAGACGACCATTTCTTAAAATTTGAAAGAAGTTAGCAAGTGAGCTTTTCTCATCACTTGTAAAAGTTAACGGACGATGACGACGGACGACGACAGACAACGGACGCCAAGAGATGAGAAAAGCCCACTTGGCCCATTGGGCTAGGTAAGCTAAAAACACAAAATGTGAAAGCAGTTATAACAACAACACTTTAGAGATTGCTGCAGTAATTTAATGAGATCGACATGTTTCGGTGCCCCTCCAGTGCTACCTTAAATTACTGCAGCAATCCCTAAAGTGCTGTTGTTATAACTTCTTTCAAATTTTAAGAAAAGGTTGTCTCGATTTTTGTACATGTATTTGCGGTCTTCTGGATCTATTCACATTCAATGTTTTCATCTGGATAAGGTCCGTTTGAATTTGCTTAGTAACTTAATTTCAAAAGTGTTAATCTTTGCTGCATATCAATTGTTTCCTTTAAAAATTTTCCCTGAAATTCTATGATCTAGCTGCACATATATACAGATAACTAGAGTGTTCCAGAGAGGTATACATCCAGTAGAAAAATAAAGTCCAGGAATTTATTTGCATAGCAACATTTTAAACCAATTTTACATAAAGCTCCTATAGCCTGCTGTACTTGTGGTTCGCTATTTAAGGAGGGAAATGATAACATTAAATGGAAGTTTTGTTTTTATTTCAACTTATTTCTATTTTTACCATTTACCAGAGCGTTTTCCCATGAATTTATAATTGATAGTGTCCTTGCTCAAATGGCACAAACATTGAAAAGATCTAGTTTTCAGTGTTTACAGGGGAGGTAATATTTTGTCACTAGATTTCCCACTGCATCAGGTGACTTTACTAAAGCAATATTTATTAAAACACCTAACATTTTAAAAGTTTCTCTTGATAAATGAAAATAGAATTGATAAGTTACAAGGAACTGGTTCACATAAAAGCATTGTTATGCTTGTTACTACTGCAGAGAATTCAAAGAAAAATAACCAATTGTTAAATATATCTATTTTAGTTACCTCAAAATAATTGTAATGCCACCAGCAACAGGAAGTGTGATTCCAGTATCTATTTTCTTTTCTATGCCTAAATATTAAAATATGAAAATTCCTTGTTTTTAAATATAATCTTCTCATTGCATAGATAAAAACATATGAGATGACACATTAGAGTTAGATTAACTTGTTACTAGCAAATGTATCAAATAATTCACTATTAGCTTTTATTGTAAAACTGAGCACACTGAAAATTCTACACGTTTATATTCCACAAGTTTTCAATTATTCTTTCTATGGAACCACAAATCAATTTTGGATATGTTTTCCTTTTTAAGTTTTCGTACCTGCCAACTTTTCAAAACTTCCATGGAGATTTTAAGCACAAGAGGATCTTGTGAATGTTTTATAAATGTCTAAAGTATATTTAATAAGATAATATATACTATGATTAAGGAGAATATGTGTGTACTTAAATGCCATTAAACTCATTTGAATAACTTTTTTGAGGTATTAAGTTCATATAAAAGAGGATTTGAATAGTCAGGCCAACCCCTCCCATGGGGGATATCCCCCATAAATTGGGATAGTTGGCAGGTCTGAGTTTTATAAGCATAATTATAAGTTAATCCAAAAACAAAAATAGACAGCACATCCATAGCCAGGAATACGGTCTATTTTTTTAATTTTTGGCTATGGACCCAGACATTATACATTTAAGGCAAATGATACTATTACTTCTTTACTGTTTTCTTTAAATGTTTTTCCCCATCAAAATCTATTAATGCATTTAATTACTTAGAATCAGAAGATTGGACCATATTGTTAACAAGATGACATAATCAAATCAATCTGAGGAACCTGAGTTGTTCCTTTAATAATGTAAAGCACAAAATGGTTGACGTTCATATCTTGGAAAGTCATACCTGCCAACCTCTGAAATATTCAATGAGGGAGATGTCATAGCTGAGGGGGAGATTTTGCTCGAACGACATTTTCAAGCTAAATATATGACCTGTACACTTATTCGTCTACAAAACACCAATGAGAGTTAATAAATATACTTTATTTCTTCAATTCATTGTTTAAATATATACAAGTTTTTTTTGCCTTTTTCAATACCTCTGAGTCAGGACAATACTCGTAACATTTCATATTTTGATTTCGTTGTGAGACTCCTACTAAGCATGCTTTTAAACGACGTACAGATACCAAGAAGTAACGGAAAAGAAGATTGAACATAATGTGCAAAATGAAGATTCATTGCCGAGTGAACTTGGTCATAAAAATTGAAAATCTTTCATACAATCTGCTTGCAATTTGCAGTTATATTTCTTCTTTTTTACACTGCAGCTTGGTCCAGACAAAGACATCTATCTTTTTGGAGTTGACATAGCAGAAATGGATTTTCGATTACTGATAAATCGGACATAAAAACTACTGACCAAAGTTTTCAAGTGATAGCCAATTGTTTGTTTATTTCTATTGAAAGTAATGAAAGATCCAAAGAAATACGAATGAGGTCATTCCAGGTTAAAATATCCAAATGCGGGAGATTGTATACTCCCGCACCAAACCGTACCAGCGAGTAAGAGAAATGTTATCAATTTCATTTTTACTTACAGTATAATATAGAACTCACCATCATACGAGTTACTACCAAATGAAACAGAGGTTCTAAATTCATCAATACCAAAATGGAAGTCCATTTCTTCAGGATCAAGTCTGACAAATACTTTCACAGTACGTAGGAATATAAGTACTTTCACATTTATACAGCATTCCACACCCATACACATAGAATCAAAAGTACAGTATACATTCGATGGAATCAAAGATGATAGGAGAGGACATTCTGAAAAAAATCCAAAGCATAATATCACCAACTTATTTTTATTATAAATTATTTGTAACACCCATCTTTAATTGGACTTCATTCAATGGATTTTTTTGTACTGTATGTGTTTGTTTTTTATAGTTTTGTAATTTTTTGGTTTCCCTCGTTGTTTACAAAAAATATGTACTTATATAAAATAAAATGCTCCGCTGGGCACAGCTGGATACTACCGCAGAGGTCGAACCCTGAACAGTTGGGGCAAGTATGGACACAATATTCAAGCTCTGAATTTGGATTGTGATTAAATATTTGACACAGCATAGGTTTATGAATGTGGTCTAAGAACTTAAATTTTTTTTCTTTACCTATTCAAACCATATCATTATTATTTGCTTTTATATATAAATCAGAAATAACCAACTTAAAATGGAAAATTTTAAAGAAAAAAAAAAAGGAAAAAAAGGAAAAAAAAATCCCCCCCCCCAAATTTTTTGAAGCCCCTTATGATTCATCACCCCCAAACTCAATCCCAGCCTTCCCTTTGTGATATGGAACCTTGTAGTACAATTTAGAAAGATCCATACACTTTCACACAAGTTATTGTCATGAAACTAGAAAAATGCTTGTTTTTTTGCCCCTTTTTTGTCCCTAATTCCTAAAATTTTGAGGCAATTACCCCCAAAATTAATCCCAGCATTCCCTTTGTGATATGGAACCTTGTGGTACAATGTCAGAGAGATCCATACACTAACACACAAGTTATTGTCTGGAAGTTACAAAAATGCTTAGTTTTCCTTTTTGGCCCCTTATCCCTTAACTGTTGGTACCATAACCCCCAAAATCAATCCCAACCTTCCTTTTGTGGTATTGAACCTTATGGTAAAATTTCATAGAGATCCATTCACTTAAACTAAAGTTATTGTGCGAAAACCAATGTGTCTTCGGACGATGACAACTACAACGATGCCAACGTCATACCAATATACGACAGCAAAATACAAATTTTTTGCGGTCGTATAAAAATAAATGCAACAATTTTGTAGTTTACTTGTTGTGCCAGTGTTGACCATGTACTTTTTTTTTTAATTTCATGATTTGTCAAAGTGTTGACTGTGTACATATTTTCAGTACAGAGAATGTATCCTATATACAAATAATGCTTCTGTCAGGGCATTTATACACCTATCAAAATACAAAAAAGGCATATTCAGTTCTTTTTATCAGACGATGTCATAGTTACGGTTGCCATTTGTCAGCAGTCTTTTGATCATCTTGTCTCTACTCCCGCCCGTCTGCTGTCCTCTTTCTAACAATTCCTCTTCTAATTCATCATCTGTGGCTTGTGATGGGTTAAAACAGGGTTTATTGTCTATTAATTTCTACAATAAAAAATACTTAAGCATTATCAGTAATGGAGTCAAATTCATCCTTATGGCTAATTTCCTAATGCTTGTAGAGTAAGACTTTGGTTAGCTTGCTTGCTTTGTTTGTATAAACGTTTGCTCAAGCATTGTAATTAGGATTTACATCTGTAACCAATATAAATAGGCAGAGTTAAACCTGTATACATTATACTTAAATTTGATTGGATGTTATCCTGGAGGTTAGGAACTTAAATATAATGTATACATTAAAGCCGCCTATTTTTATTGTTTGCAGATGAAAATCTTAATTACATTGCTTTAGCAAAAATTCATACAAACAAAGCATGCAAGCCAACCAAAGTCTTACTCAACAAGCATTATGAAATTAGCTCTAACATAATACATGATGTTAATGGCATTCTGCCTATTATCTACACTGGGAAATATTAAGACAAAATAAATATAATTTCCAAACTGGCAAAAGTTAAGATATTGTCTTATTTACTTCTCTTTTAATGGATAAAGGAAACTAGAGGCTCTAAAGAGCCTGTGTCACTCACCTAGGTCTATGTGCATAATCATCAATGGACTCGCCAACATTGTAGACAAGAATAGAATTCATGACATTTCTTTTTGTTGATCTTGTATTGCTAATCATTTTGTCTGTTTAGTTTCTCTCTATCCTCTTTAGTTTTTGCTCAAAGCACAAAAGGGGGTAAAAAAATCCTCATTTAAGGCAATCACTCCTATGAAGAGTGACAGTCTACTATCAGCAAAAATTGACTTGTTTGAGGTTCTTGCCTACCTGATAATTTTTGTTATTTAAAGTTTTTATTTATCTATATGAATTTTTATCATCTAAGGCAAAACGCAAAAAGATTGGTAAAAATTGTCATTAAAGGGCAATAACTCCAATAAGAAGTCGTCGGAAATTCCCACTATGATACTTATTTGTAGATCTTGTCTTGCTGATCATTTTTGCAACTTAAACTTTCTCTATATCTATTATAGTTTTCAAGAGAAAAGGCAAAAATGAAAAAAAATGGTAACATTTGTCATTTAATAGTTTTAAGTTCAATGAAAAATTGGTAGAGCTCAACATTCTGAACATTTTTGCACTTGTCAGTTTTTCTCTATTTATAACTTTTTTCAAAATAATAGACAAAACTTGCATTTTACTCCTATGCTCTATTTTTAGCCATGTCAGCCATCTTGGTTGGCAGGTGGGGTCATCAGACACATTTTTTAATCTAGATACTCAATGATGATTGTGGTCTGGTTAAATTTGTCCCAGTAGTTTCAGAGGAGAAGATTTTTGTAAACTTAACAAACGACGACAAGGGACAACAGACACTGGACAAGGATGACAGACACCAGACAACGACGCCAGATGCCAAGTTATCAGGTGAGCTAAAAATTTATCCCTTGATAGAAAAAGGAAATATGAGTTTTGTTGAACTATATCATACAAAACAATTCCAGTGGGGTAATAGAATTTATTATGTACAGTTGTGATTTTCTGTAAAATGGACCATAAAATAAACTACCTAAAGTCACTAATGCACGTTGACCATATGGTGCTGAAATATGCATCCAGTAATAATGAGATACCATAGATTTAACACAGTAAATTTCTGACACAAATCTTAGCAAAGGATTCCTTTAGGTCTGATGAAGGTAAGTCTTTATATCTTTACAACATTCATATAATAACTGCTTCGCTGAGCGCAGCTGGATACGCCTGCAGAGGTCCAACCCTAAACAGTTGGGGCAAAAATGGACACAATATTCAAGCTTGATACAGGTCTGAATTTTGATTGTAATTAAATATTTGATATATTATAGGTTTCTGAATAAATGTAGTCAAAGAACTTGAAATTGGTTATATGAAAGATTTCTTGCTGTTGTGCAATACACTGTGCTGTTGTGCAATACTTAGTAAATCTGTTGTCCGACTATAAACAAATAAAATCTTATAACTCAGAAATGTAAAATCAAAAATTTATAAAAATCAAAAGGGAGCTTACAAAAATAGATATAAACAATTTACCAAAGTTTCATAAAAAATGCTGAAAGCATTTTTGAGTTATTGTCCGAAAACTGGAAAATCCCCCTTTTTGTAATGAATAAAACCCCATTAATCGGAAACGCTTAGTCTGAAATTTATAAAAATCAAAAGGAAGCTCATGTCGATAGAAATAAACAATTCACCAAAGTTTCTTGCAAATTGGTGAAATTGTTTTTGAGTTATTGTCCGAAAACTGGAAAATCCCCCTTTTTTTAATGAATAAAACCCCAAAACGGTAAATCCGAAATTTATAAAAAACGAAAGGGAGCTCACGCCATAGATATAATCAATTCACAAAAGTTTCATGCAAATTGGTGAAATTGTTTTTGAGTTATTGTCCGTAAACTGGAAAATCCCCACATTTTTAATGAATAAAACCCCAAAACTCGGAAATGGTAAATCTGAATTTTATAAAAACAAAAAGGAGCTCACGTCAATAGATATAAAAATTTCACCAAGTTACATGCATATTGGTTGAAGTGTTTTTGAATTAATGTCCGACATGTTGACGACGGACGGACAGACGGACAGACAGACGGTCAACGGTATACCATAATACGTCCCGTAAACGGACATATAAAAACTAAGTTAAAACATTTAAACTAAAGAACATGGCGGGAATTTTAAAGTTAATTTGAGAAAATAAATAAATTACCTTGACTGTCGTCAATACAACAGCTAGCTTCTTCTTTGACTCGTCCATTTTAAGTTTTCCAAGAAAATCTATGATTGAACCCATCTTTAGTTTCTTCAAAGAAAATTTCTGAAGGAAACTGTCTGCTTTCTTCAGTAAAACACTGAATGGATCTTCAAGTAAAAGATTGATACATGTACTTACATTAATTGAGTTTTCTTAACTTTTCTGCATGATTTATCTAATGAACAAAATTTATTTGAGTATATCTTTACCATATAATACTGTGGATTCATAATTATTCTTGGAATACCGATTTTCGTGGATTTCATGGGTACAGGGGAACCACTAATTTTAATGTTTACAATTGAAATAATATAGCATGCAAAGCAAGAGTTTAAATGCCTTGCTTGCAAACTTTGTTTGGTTATTTGCTCAGACATTGTACTTAAGATTGACACCTAAATTAAATGGGTAGGCCAATGATTTGTATAGTGAGCTATTGTAAACAGACTGTTACTCCACCTACCCATTGAATTTAGGTGTCAATCTTAATTACAATGTCTGATTAAACAGCCAAACAAAGTTTGCAAGCAAGGCATTTAAACTCTTGACTTGCATGCTATATTATTTCAACTGTAACAAACTACACATTTTCTATATGAATGTATGCTGACTTTAGCAAAACCATAAAATCAAATACCCACAAAAATAAAAGTTGTCCTCAATCCATGAAAATTGGTACCTTTTGAAACTAATGAATCCAAATATAATGTATGGAGTTCCAGTTTACATCTTGGTTATGTAAGGGAGATTAATTTCTGTGCACTGTGTTTTTTGTTTTGTTTATCAAGTTTCAAATACAAGCCATGAATAAATGTTTTACAAATGTCAAGTTTACTGCAAAAATCCTGGTTAACAAAACACCATTTTTCTGTGGAAAATACTTTAAATAAGTCTGACAAGTGTGACTGTCTTTGTCCATCTGATTAACATTCAGGTTTCATCTAGGTTTTACTTACATTTGAATTAGTACATTTATAATATTCTTTGACCAAAACATTATCAAATGTACTCTTCATGATTGTGCATACCAAATTTTAAATATACATTCTGGTGTGTGCAACTCAAACCATTATTTTCAGGTTGCAATTCTACTGAGATTGTCTCTAACATATCAAAATAAGGATTGCTTCTAAACATTACATTAATCTATCAAACAAATTGTTGGGAGTAAAATCATACTTAGTAATAACTAGAGGCTCTAAAGAGCCTGTGTCGCTCACCTTGGTCTATGTGCATATTAAACAAAGGACACAGATGGATTCATGGCAAAATTGTGTTTTGGTGATGGTGATGGTGATGTGTTTGTAGATCTGACTTTACTGAACATTCTTGCTGCTTACAATTATCTCTATCTATAATGAACTTGGCCCAGTAGTTACAGTGGAAAATATTTTGTAAAAATTTACAAAAATTCACAAAATTTATGAAAATTGTAAAAAATTGATTATAAAGGGCAATAACTCCTTAAGGGGTCAATTGACAATTTTGGTCATGTTGACTTATTTGTAGATCTTACTTTGCTGTACATTATTGCTGTTTACAGTTTATCTCTATCTATAATAATATTCAAGATAATAACCAAAAGCTGCAAAATTTTCTTAAAATTACCAATTCAGGGGCAGCAACCCAGCAACGTGTTGCCTGATTGGTCTGAAAATTTCAGGGCAGATAGATCTTGACCTAATGAACAATTTTATTCTGTCATATTTGCTCTAAATGCTTTGGTTTCAGAGATATGAGCCAAAAACTGCATTTTACTCTATGTACTATTTTTTAGCCATGTCGGCCATCTTGGTTCGCGGGCACGGTCATCGGACACATTTTTTAAACTAGATACCCTAATGATGATTGTGGACAAGTTTGGTTAAATTTGTCTTCGTAGTTTCAGAGGAGAAGATTTTTGTAAAAGGTTACAAAAATTTACGAAAAATGGTTAAAAATTGACTATAAAGGGCAATAACTCCTTAAGGGGTCAACTGACTATTTTGGTCAAATTGACTTATTTGTAGATCTTACTTTGCTGAACATTATTGCTGTTTGCAGTTATCTCTATCTATAATAATATTCAAGATAATAATCAAAAACGGCAAAATTTCCTAAAAATTACCAATTCAGGGGCAGTAACCCAACAACGGGTTGTCAGATTCATCTGAAAATTTCAGGGCAGATAGATCTTGACCTAAAAACAATTTTACCCCATGTCAGATTTGCTCTAAATGCTTTGGTTTCAGAGATATAAGCCAAAAACTAGATACCCCAATGATGATTGTGGCCAAGTTTGGTCAAACTTGGCCCAGTAGTTTCAGAGGAGAAGATTTTTGTAAAAGTTTACGGACAACAGACGCAGGACGCAGGACGACGGACGACAGACGCCAAGTGATGAGAAAAGCTCACTTGGCCCTTTGGGCCAGGTGAGCTAAAAAGGAATTTGGTTTATAAGATTCCCTTTTTTTCCTTACCTTGAACATTCAAATTTATGGACCCCATATTTCCTGGGTTCATCTGTCCAACCATACCACCACCTGTAATAAGAAAATGTGATGTTCTGTAACAATAAACGTTGATCAAGTACAAAGACTTTTTAAGAATGAGGCAATTCAAATTTAATTAGTTTATTCAGTTCATATCTTATAATAATCATGAATTTCAAAACTTAATACTATTGTTGAACTGATGTCCTTTTCTGTGGCTTGTACTTGTATCTTATCTTATTTAGAAAGAGTAGCAAAAATATGCACATGGAATAAAAGTTTTCACAAATTATCAACCATTTTCATCTCAACACTATGTTACTTTCAAAGCAATGATACTCATTAGAATGTATCCTAAAACATACTCTTAATTTGATCAAGATCTGCCCCTGGAGGATCTCCTGCTAAGTCTGGCATGTCTTCAGTTTCAGGTTCCCCACTTTCCAATTCCTCGCTGGTGTCTTTAAAATTCTTACCAATAGCGCCTATAATGGAACCCTCAGCAATAGTGAAACCCTAAATACAAAAGAGAATATTACAGAATTGTTAATTCAGATTTACTGTGTGCATTTATTATTGCAATGGTTGAGCAGTGCACATTAATGTAACAGTATATAATACAATTTCAGCAAATTCTGAAAATGAAAAAAAAATTCACAATACTAAAAACATTGCAAAAATCTCTGACTTTACAATATCTATAACACTAAAGGAACAAATTTTCAGATTTTAGACGAAAGCCTGTTGCTTAAAATGAAACAGATATAGTCTAGATTGTACAGGTTTTTTGTTAGTGGCAAGATAAGATTCTGTCAAACATCATAATAAGCCTATTTCTGTCTAAGATTTGAGTCAGATAAGGTGTAATACCACCAAATCATAGTATCCGGTCACATCCGGTTGCATTCGAAAAAGGGTCGAAAAAAAATATTCCCTTGAATTTGATAGTTGTAGGAAATTAATCCTACATTTCATTGCAGTAAAAAATTTCTGAGTCATAAACATATATCTTGGGTGTTTCAAAGCACCCTTATTTTTTTATTTAGGGTTTCTATAGAATATTTTGGAAACTTGAGGTTACATGGTTACTAAAGCTTGTACACAGGAAAAAGAGGGGTAAAAAATTTGATTAGTTAACTTCCAGTGATGGTTATTTTCTTATATGCAATGAAATGTTATGTGAAATTTTGTCTAAAGTACTGGACAGGATAAAACTTTACTTATGCCAAGTATTTCTTTATTTGAAAAGTGCAAATTTAACAAAGACTAATAGGGAAAAATCAATGGTGGTATTACATCATAATACAAGATTTGGGTAAAATACAAGACATTTTATCATACATACCATGAACACTAGTTTATAGTCATCACATTTCTGAAGCCATGGCTGTAATTGAATGCCTCTTTTTTGTAGGAATCCTGTTGGATCTATAGAACCTCCATTCTTACGGAAGATAACAGTAATATGATTGTCACATGATGATCTAGTTGCTGTTCCAATAGGTTCTCCTGCAGCAACCTAAATATTCAATATATATTAACTAAAATAATATTTTACATCTGATAACGAATATTATCATCCTTTCCTTTGCCTATATCACACTGCTCAGTAGCTCCATAATTCTTGTATTCCTGGTTGGAGACATGAGCAGTCATTATCAGCAACCTCACAATGTCTGAGGAGAAGTTACAAGTAATGTCATAACCTGTGAGGAGATGTTATCAAGCTTGCTTTAATCAAGCGTTAAACTGTCTATTATAGGTAGTGGAAAATGACCAGTAATTGATCGATAAACAAATTATAGGGTTTTCTACATAAAGATATTGTTAAATATTAGCCACTGGACACAATGTGAAAATTTTATGCTCATCCGCTGCGCTCACTTGAAAAAAAGGTTCACATTGTGGCTTCCAGCTAATATTTTACGATATCAATGTGTAGAAAACCTGATAATCTCTAATTTGAAGTATCAATAACAAGTGAAACTGTGAGCTACTGCTCACTGATGATACCCCCGCCCCAAATACTTGACTGTAAACAGGAAGTTGTTGAGTGATGAATCCGAAAACGCATCACATGGTATAGCTGACTTATATAAACCGTGAAACCAAATTTCAGAAATCCTTGTAATGTAGTTCCTGAGAAAAATGTGACAAAAAATTTTCAACTTGGATGTCATGTGTAAAATGATGTAAGTGTTCGGTAAACAGGAAGTTTTTGAGTGATGAATCTGAAAACGCATCACACGGTATAGCTGACTTATATAAACCCTGAAACCAAATTTCAGAAATCCTTATAATGTAGTTCCTCAGAAAGATGCGACGAAAAATATTCATGGGACGGATGGACGGATGGATGGACTGACAGACGGATGGATGGACAGACAGAGGTAAAACAGTATACCCCCACTTTTTTCAAGCGGGGGTAAAATAATAATTAATAGAATGCCAAAACCATCTTAAATGATTTCTTAAAAACTAGCCAGTATTTATGGTCATCAAAAGCTAAACATAAAGGATATCCAATATCTTATTTAAAATAAATGGAGAAAGTGTCCATGGGACACAGATGATGCCCCTGCTTGCATATAACTTTATAAAGGGACATAACTAGAGAATTGTAAAAGTGATGCCACCCAAAATCGATCTTGATCTGTGTTTTGTGGTAATAAGCATTGTGTATAATTATCATAACATTTAGTTGAGTCAAACTGAAGTTAGAAAACAGAAACCAATATCGGGATGCACCAACGGAAGGACGTACAGACAGACAAGGGTAAACCTTAATGCCCCCTCTACTACGGCAGGGGATAAAAAACCTTGAAATATACATTCCTGATTCCTCGTTTCTCTAAATTGTCTCATTTTTTGTCTTCAATACCTTCAAATGTCACATAACACACTCATATATTAGTTGTTTTTTTTTAAATTAAATGTCAATGACACTTAAGTTTTTTACAACTTAAACTTCACATGATGCTTACTCCTGAGTTTTCAAACCTTCAAAACTTACACTTACTAGTTTTTGATACCTTGTCACATGACACTTACTAGTTTGTCAATATAAAGGTCATCATTTGGATGCAAGATATCACCATTTGGTTTTACATTCTTTAAGATAATTTCAATGTCTTTCAGAAAACCTCCAGATGTTTGAATAATGACTTCATTTTCTGCATCAGACAACATTACCAATCCAGGAAATGGTGAAACTACCTGTAAAACAAAACAAAAAATTTGTCTTCCTCAAACGTGACAAATGACATTAGAAATTTCTTTAGGTCATGATTCAGTGATGTCTGCTCTATACGGACTTTTTACTTATTTGAAATTCTGATGATAATGTCCAAAAGGAAAATGTTCATAGGTCTTAATTGAGTGTCTCACCTAGGCATACAATGCATCTTTTGATTTTTATTTTTAGAATGCATTTTTGTAGTTGGTTTTGAAATTCAGGTTCTCGAGTTTAAATGGAAAAATTCCTGAATTTGCCTTATATTTACAAGCGGGGACATCTGTGTCCCATGGACACATTTTTCTTTTATTCTAAATCAATGTTTTTTGTCACATCTCTTTTTTTTTAATATATAGCAATATTCTTACATGTCGTTACAGTTACATAAATCTATTCCAAAAATGTATGAACAATCATCCTCTGAACAGTAAGCAAACAAAAATCAATCAGTCCAGTTACTTATGTTATAATTTATTCTTCTATTCCTCTAAAATACTAAGATCATAAGTAAAATATTACTAACCGTTTCTCCAGAATCAATTTCTAAGTCAACTCCTCCTTTGTCACCAGCAGGGTAGAAACCATCATAGCCACACCCACCTCCACTCAAACGCGTGACATTTGGAAAATTTCTATTGGCTTTAGGACCAAATATACCAGCCAATGTAGACATTGCTGATTCATACCTGAAATTATTTGATACATCACTTCTGATTATTATGGTCTTACAAACTTATAATTCTAATAACACTTTATTCCAAATGCATATGCAGCTTAAAGGATACATACATATAATGATAATATTTCTATATGCACCAAATGTAAAGTAAACATATGTCAAATGTTACAATAAAGTAAAAAAAACCATTAAATTTAGTACTTGTATCGAAAAAAGGAGCAGTTTGGTAAAGGGCCCCTCAAAATGTGGATAAACTGTTCAAAATATGGATCTCTTCAATGTTTGTCTTCAGTTATATTTTAATGCTTTTATCCTTTAGGAAGTTTGTTGTTGAAGTCTCTATTGAATGTATTCACTGTGAAAACTAATTGGGAGAACTTTTATCTTTTTTTGGAAACTTTTTCAAAAACAATGCTTTAATATATGTTCCCATTGGAACAAAAATTCTATATCCATTTGGCAGGAACAAATACTGTTTAAAAGTTTTTCCGATAAAAAATTATATTCCAGAATATTCTTCCATATGTAACTGCTATTAAGAAGGAAATTCTGCTCTATGACAGCAGAACATGAAACTCTATGACAGCAGAACATGAAATGTAGTTATTCTACAAACTAGTGTGTTTATTCCATCGTGATGGATAACTTAAGGAAAAAACATCTGCGAAATTATGCAGTAGTGTATTTCTTCAAAAAGGAAGAGAACATTGCTTGAAGATTCAATGTTACTTTCACAGCTTGTCAAATGATAAAGATACTTTTATTTGTAGAAGGTCCTATAACAACAACACTTTAAGGAATGCTCCAGTAATTTATCAAGATTGACATGTTTCGGTGGCTAGGCCACCGTCATCAGGATAGAAAACAATACATTAAATCTTTCTGATGTACAAAATCGGGTTGAGAAAATTAAAACGTCACAATGTTGCTATGGTGAGTAAAGTTATAAATAGCAATTGAAAGAGAAAGTGAAAGTAAGTATATATGGAAGTAAACTATTAAAATAAAATAAAATAAACAGCTGTGCATACGCCCGCCGTCTTGTGTGTGAATTTTTTTGCAATAATCATAGTTTCTGACATACGGCACGACATGCAAAATCCCCCCTTTTTTTTTACAAAAAAATCAATATCTCTAAAAAAAAATTTGATTCAAAACCAAAAAGTATAAAGATCTTTAAATTAATATAACTAAGAAGTGTGTAAAATTTTAAGCAATAATCATAAATCGTTTTTGAGATACGGCTCGACATCTGAAACCCCCTTTTTAAAAAAAAAAAAATCAATATCTCTAAAATAAAATTTTGAATCAAAACCAAAAAGTATACAGATCTTTATATTAATATAACTAAGAAGTGTGTAAAATTTTAAGCAATAATCATAAATCGTTTTTGAGATACGGCGCGACATGTGAAAAACCCCTCCCCCTTTTTTTACAAAATACTCAATAACTCAAAAATAAAATTTTGAATCATCACCAAAAAGTATACAGATCTTAAGATTAATATAACTAAGAAGTGTGTAAAGTTTAAAGCAATAATCATAAATTGTTTTTGAGATACGGCGCAACATGTGAAAAAAAAACACACACCTGTTTTAGTTACTAAGTCCCGTAACTCAAAAAGTTTTAATCTTATTTTCACCAAAAAGTATACAGATCATTTGACCATCATAAGAAACAACTATGCTAAGTTTAATGAAATTTGGATAAGTCGTTCTCAAGCTACGATGCGACATGTTTACGCCGGACAGACAGATGGACAGATGGACAGACGGACAGATGATATTTGTATACCATAATACGTCCCGTCAAAATTTTGAAGGGCGTATAAATACAATGTTTTTGTTGTTAAAATGCTTGTTAAAATTATTCTGCCATCATGTGTTAGTACTCTTGCACAGTGGATAAATTATTGTCAGTTGTGTTCTGTGTAAACTTTGTGTTCAATTAACGTCTTTATTTCCAAATATAGACGACATTTTACTAGCAATTCTGTACCATTACTTTTATTTGTTGAAAACCTTATATTAACCTTTAGACTTCTAATTGGTGTTTATGTTGGCTTGCTGGATCATTGATTTTTCATTTATATTCACTACAATGTGCAGATTTGAAAAATACCTACTTAATTTCTAAAAGAGTTGGGTCACTTATGTAAATGCTCTTTTGTTCCAATGTTGGAAAGTTCCGGGCAGAAAGAACTAACTAGCCGAAAAGTTCTGGAGGAACTTATTAACTAGTTACTTTGTTCCTCCTCTAGTTTAAAAGTTCCACCGGAACAAAGTGACTAGTTGAAAAGTTCCAACAGAACATATCAACTAGTTAGAAAGTTCCTTTTTGCCAAATTAGTCAAAACCGGAACTAACAAACTAGCCCAAAAGTTCCAACGAAACTTATCAACCAGTCACAAAGTTCCATTTGGAGAATTGATGCAAAGTAAATGCGCAACATATTATCTTTGAACCTTTTCAAAGGGGAACAAAGATACTAGCCACAAAAGTCAAACGGAACTTATCAACTAGTCACAAAGTTCCTCTTTGTCAAATAAGTCTATAACGAAACTAACAAACAAGTCAAAATTACCAACAGAAATTATCAACTAGTCAGACAGCTACATTCAGAGAATTGACTAAAAAAGAGAAGAACATATCATCATTGAACTTTTAAAAAACGGAACCAAGAGACTACAAGACACTAGCCACAAATGCCAAACGGAAATTATCAAATAGCTACATAGTTCCTCCTTCATCAGCGAATTATCCCAAACTGGAAATAGCAAACTAGCTTAAAAGTTCAAACGGAACTTATCAACTAGTCACACAGTTCCGTTTATATAGTTGTTGTTCCAAGCAATAACAAAACTAAAATACCATAACCTGATTTTCATAACTTATGTATTATAATAATATTGAATCAGAATCTCATTTTTAGATCATTGTAGATAGTAATTTATAACGGAATTTTTCAACTAGTCAGAAAGTTCCCCACAATTTTGAAAAAAAAACCTTGAACAATGTTAGAACATTAAAAATGAAAGTGAATAAATATTTTTTTTATATAATTTTTTTCATATTATTACAAAAAAAAGTTAGATGCTAAATACTGTTAGTTATATATATAAACATGATTGGTATTTAAACTGACATTTCACTGGAATGCAGGTTTCATGGTTCAGCACACGTTAATACAGTTCAGAACTAACAAATGCATATATAAGATGAGTGTTATAGTCAGTAAAATCACAGAAATGGAAGTTTCAGATTACGAGAAGCTCGTTCTGTACTTGTCAGAGAAAAAATATGACGAAGCTGCAACAAAAAGTGAGAAGAGAAGAATACGGAAACGGTCAAAGTTATTTCAAGTTGACAGTTGACAGAAACAAAAGTTTGATGTATATCAACAACCAGGAGGGTCAAGAGACTGTGAGAACTGTCATCACCAGAGAAAGAACAAAGAGTGTAATCAAGCTAATGCACACAGGACACCTTGGCAGGGATAAGACTTATGAAAAATGCAATTCAAGGTAAGATTATTTTAATCCATATGATAATAATAACATAATGACATAAGCATTTTCTTACATTCATGTATTAAACGATTAAAAAACGTTTGTAGTACAAATAGATAATTTCTAACAAAAGTAATGAAAATTATTGCCAGTGTTTTTGTACACTCTACATGGAAAGTCACAAGAAATATCTCGCTGATCGTTTTCATTAGTGTGTGGCGAACGGCCTACGGCGATATGAAATTTCAAACTCAAAATTAACGAAAAGGGGATTGGGGATAGAAAATGGACCCAAAACTCCAAAAACAAGCAAAATGATAGCACTGCATTTTGGAGTTTATGGTACTTCAAATCGAATTGCCTGAAATATGGTGTTAAGTATAGACCTCAACAATGGTAAAATATGAAATTGAATCTCCAGAAATTGGAAAATGTACATAAGAAATCCCGGCTATATTTACAAATTCCTGATCCGGACGTAGTGCCGCACATCCACAACGTAGTGTATAAATCAACCCTCCCCCATGTTCAGCCCGTGGGAGGGGGTAATTTGTGTTGCGGTTTATAATACATTTGTTTTAATCTACTTATGTTTTTTTTAAATAATGGTATTTCTTTACATAATATTCATTTAACAGTGCATGTTATTTACGACAATATTGAGGATATCTTTACTTTAAATGGAGATATATAAAAATGGTTATTACTTTTTCAGATTTTATTGGAAAGGAATGAAGCAAGATGTTGCAAAATTCATAAAACACTGCCCAGAATGTCAGTCTCAGAACAAAAAAACCAAATCACATGTCCAAGAGATGGTTCCAGTTTCGTTCCCACCAAGAGTATGGGGAAAGATTGAAATAGATCTTATAGGACCATTTATGAAAGCAGATAAAAAGAAGCCAATTTGTAAAAGGGGATACCGGTATGTATTTTTATTTTTATGTCCCAATCAAGCATATGAAAGGGGCATATTGTTTTACCCTTGTCCGCCTGTCTGTCCATTTGTCCGTCTGTACGTCCATGTGTTTCTTAAGTTCTGCTTTTAGGTCTGTTTCTTAGATACCCAACATGTTATAGCATTGATACATGTTCAGTGGATAGGTCTTTGGAAGTACTACAGGGTTCACTAATCATTAGGTCACTTTGACCTACATTTCACGCATGATTGACTCCGGTTAAATGGTGCGTTTAGGTCTGTTTCTTAGATACCCGACATGGTATAGCATTGCTACATGTTTAGTGGATAGGTCTTTGGAAATACTACAGGGTTCACTGATCATTAGGTCACTTGGATCTACATTTTACACAACAATGAATCAGGTCAAATTTTGCTTTTTAGACCATTTATCAGATGTAGCATTGTTTTTTGGTCAGTGCAGACAACCAGTCTTACCAAATGAATCTGGATTTAAAAACACACATTCTAATCACGATGAACAAGACATAGAAGGCGCAGTTAATCAGATGATTAAAATTAAGGACAAAATAAGCAAAGA